GGAAATAACCATTCTTAATTGACAATACGTCGTCGATATATCTAAATGTCGAAGGCCACAGCAAGTGTTTTCTTCTTTTCACGTAAAAAAAATGAAAAAATTCTGCTACAAAAATAGGTCTGCTAAGAACAGGACGCAATTGGTACCAAATGGAATTCCAATAGATTGTTGGAAGACCTGGTCTCCAAAAACCACATAGATATTGTCAATCAGAAATTCGAGCATCTTTATAATGTTAACTTCAGAGTACTTGTGTGTACAATCAGATTGTTTTTCAACAAAGTTATTTTTCAAATGACCAATGACAAGGTAAGTAAATTTACGAGTTCCATTTTTAGTGAAAAAAGCAGCTGTCAACGACGTCAGAAAGTCTGGAGTTCAATTTATCGTAGGGAATTATTATATAAAGTTGAAAAGTCGTAAGTTTTTATGTTGTTGATTTTGGTAAAATTTTGTGATTTCAAATGTTCCAAAAGTTCCTTGGATTTGTTTAGTATCCACATCTGACTTACACCACTTCTTGAATATATTGTTGCACAGTACTCTTGATGTTTCTAAATCACTACTGTTAATATCTTTGTGAGGAGTAAAGAAAGAGGCTTGGTTGAACATTTACTGGAACCCGCTGTGTATCTTTGTTTGTAAGGATTTTTATGAAGTTTCGGAATCCAATATAGATATGGTAATTCAAATTCATTTTAGTTGGGAATATTGATTGATTGTATGTTGTTTTACGTCACTTTTGAGAATTTTTCACTCAAATAGAGACGTCACCATATACCGGTGAAGGGCTTACAAATACAGGATATACGAATTATATAACGAAACAACCTTTTCACCTTTTCATGAATGTTTCCAATAATTTTTTTTTATTTCCAGGAAACAAACACCAAAATCACCATTGATAATTTTCTATCAATGCATTTACACACAGGCTTTTCTTTGTTTCTTTTTTTTCTTAAATTATTTAAGATGCACGAAGAAAAAGTGGAATTATGTGATATTAAATAACGAATGATGTTTGGTATTGTTCATTCATACATGTATATACTAGAAATATGTCCATAGGACATGAATGCCCCGTCGAGGGTATATTAGTTATGCAACATTTTAACACAAATTGAGAAAAGTGAGGTCAAGGTCAAAGGAAAGGTCAAGGTGAAAAAATATTGATGCAGTTGAATAGCTTACATTAGTATGTATCAGCATATGAAGTTTGACACAAATTTAAGAAAAGTGAGGTCAAGGTGAAATGAAAGGTCAAGGTCAAAAAAAATTGTTTATGCAGTTGAAAGGTTACATCGGTATGTATTAGCATATGAAGTTTGATAAAAATATTATGAATGGTTTTAAAACTAAGCTAAACACTAATTAAAGAAAAGTGAGGTCAATGTCAAAGGAAAGGTGAAAGTCAAAAAATAATTATGCAGTTGAATAGCTCTCATGAGTATGTATCAGCATATGAAGTTTGATAACACTATCTTGAATTCTATCTTTAAAACTGAGCTAAAAACTTATTTAAGAAAAGTGAGGTCAAGGTCAAAGGAAAGGTCAAGGTAAAAAATATTGATGCGGTTGAATAGCTCTCATCAGTATGTATCAGCATATGAAGTTTGTTAAAAATATCTTGATTGGTTTCATTAAAACTGAGCTAAACACTAATTTAAGAAAAGTGAGGTCAAGGTCAAAAGAAAGGTCAAGGTCAAAAAATGGTAATGCAGTTGAATAACTTATATCAGTATGTATCAACATATGAAGTTTGATTACACTATCTTGAATGGTATCTTTAAAACTGAGCTAAACACTAATTTAAGAAAAGTGAGGTAAAGGTCAAAAGAAAGGTCAAGGTCAAAAAATGTTGATGCAGTTGCATAGCTCACATCAATATCTATCAGCATATGAAGTTTGATAAAAATATCTTGGATAGTTTCTTTGAAACTGAGCTTTGAACAAAGCGAAATGCAAAGTGTGACGGAAGGACGGAAGACGGACATGACAAACACTATATGCCCCGGCCATATTCATGGCGGGGCATAAAAATAACCATTTGATACTATCTTTTGACCCTTTAGATCTGATCCAGAACTGCTTCATTTATAGCTCACTATAATGATATAACATAATTATCCTCCTGACAAGAGTATCAAATGATAGTATAACAGTGACAATTCTGAAATGCTCCCATACCTGTGCTCTGTCCCATTACTAAATATATACTCATCATTTTTGTTTAAATTTCTTTCAATATATTTTCAATGCTGAGTAATTTTTGTTTAAAAATTTGAGATTAATTTGTTATTGAGATATATTGATTCAAAAATAATAATTTTTATTTTGTTATTAAATGATTTGCGGTTTGTTCAGGATACAGATCATTTACTTGTCCTTTCTAAAACTCGAAAAGTGGATGTAGTAGGTGATATAAATATCAGGCCATGTTTAAAAAATTGTTTGGTTGCACTCTCCCGACCGACTGGCTAGAAATGGCCCGACTCAAAACTTTGTTTTGGACATTCAGGAAGCCAATTTTTTTATGCATTCTGGAAAATAGATTTTGAAAATTCAGCATTGAAATTGAAATTTTCTGGGGAAAAAATTTCTCACCTAACTATCGACCCAAGTTTTTCATCCTGGGTGGGGAGAGGGCAAGCAAACATTATTTTAAAATTGGCCTCACTGGCCATTTCTTCGCTTAAGAAATCACACAATCCATCAACATCTGAAAATGAATCCAACATTCAAACATTATTTATGAGTTTCATATTAACTGGCTTTCAAATTGCATATTTTTTCAAATACAGAAAAAACACTTATTTAAATTGTGTTTTAATTTACTGTTGTTTACAGAATATCATATCATTGAATATTACCGCATGGTCATTTTTAACACAAGTACCCCTGACTCTGAAAAGCTGACTGTTCACTTGTATCATGTGTACATGTATTTTCAAACCGATAAGAGATTATTGTCTGAATGTGTGATGAAGCTATTCGTGCGTAAAGCCAAGCCCACTTGTGAAGACTCAGTGGGTTGTAAGCCGACTGTTCCGACTTTTGTTGACTCTGCAGCTACGGTTATTCTTGATAATAATAAACACAAAGTAAAAAATATATATTAATTTAGAACAGAGTTTGCACAAAAATAACCATTTTTACCAACTGGTTTTGCAATTTTAAAACAACAATGAAAAACCATTAAAATATTTACTTATCATCCATTGAGTTTTAATTCTACAAACAGTGATATTCATAAATACATGTAGCACAGTTGAAAGAATGATCTTGTATATTTAATTTTGAACTTAACAATCAATATCAAAGTGACAAACCATTTGTGAGACTTATATATACCAAGGAATTGCCTGATACCAGAGTAACTTCCTACTATATAGCAGCACAGGTTTACAATGTAAATAATGAACAGTAATCGATCTGAAATAATCTACAAATAATGCAAATCTGTGAACAGGGCATAGAGCACACACCCTCGGAAATGGGATATAAAACATACAATTTATGAGTAACGTTTGTTTTCATTTATGTAACTGGTATGCTTATTATATATATGAAATAAAATTCCATAATACAAATGTACAATTGAAGCAATGAAACAAAAAGTGAAACATGAACAATATCATATTTTTACCATATAATGTTAAATGTATACATATGCTGAAATCTTTTTCTTCAAGAAAAAACATTTTCAAAAACATTTATGTACATATTTTCCAAAAACTCTTAACTTGTTTTTATGGTAAACAATTTAAAAACGCTTACTTATTTACGTTTATGCATACTTAGTATTTTCAAAATTAAAGTTTAAGAAAATTGCGTTCAAATTCACACACACACACACTAATCGGTAGTATACTAGTATATATGTATATATATTTGCCTAATCAGTTACAGATTTTCTTATCGATTACGATCATTCCAACTGAGTAATCAGCTACAGGGTAACAAATTGCCAACCGCAGTAAAATTACATCTCTATTTAAGAGAGTTTTTCAGGTTTTATCATGAATTTAACTTGTTGAGAACTTACATTTGTTCTGAACATTTTAAATGTAAAATTTTGTTGCTGCATACTTTATTTGTCTCAATTCAAAAGATATTTTTTTTTAAATTATCCTCTACTAATATTTTGAAGCTGCAGTGACAGTAATTTCTAGTACTGAATATGAAGTCCACCATCTACCACAATATCTTCTCCATTGATGTATGATGCTTTTTCAGAGGCCAAAAAAGAAACTACCGAGGCTACATCTTCCTGCTCCCCAATCCGCCCAGACGGGTTCTTTTTTGCCCTTGTAGCAATAAACTGGAACACAGGATATATGAAATGCATGCATTAAAGCAGTCCTTGTATTTCAGTGTCACACTTTATTAAAACAAAAAGATATAATTGTATAATAAATATAGGGCTTTACATTAATATCCTCTTACTATATACTTTCTTCACTAGAAAGACTGAATATTAGATTTTGTAATATAAACATTTCCAATTAATCGTATGTAGACAGTTTCTTTCAGTATTTTGCATGCTTCGTATTTATGTCACTTGCACAATCACTGAACTGTACAATATTTAATGTTTTTGATTGATGAATACATTTCATTTATTTTATAATCTTTCCAGTTGCAGTTTTAGAGTTATTATATCCGGTATGGAATGATGGAAGAAGGCATTGTTAAACTTAAAGGTGGTATGAATTCCGTTTGCCCGATCATGATAAGGAGCATACGGCGGTTCAACCAATCGACAGTGGATGCTTTCTCCTGCATGGCACCTAATCCCACCTCTGCTCCCAATTTTTATTGTTTCAATGGACGTTTAGCTTGATTACTGTTCGTTATCTACATATTTCAATCTAATTTCAAAATACGATTTAAAATAATAATTTCAATAAAATGTGTATGCAATTAGATAAATATTGATAATGGCCTTTTTATATTTTAAATTTTGAGATGATTCGTCACAATATATAACCTTATTGTATGATTCTTCATCTCCTAAACCAGGATCGTTATCACGTCTCAGAAAATTGCTTCGTATGAGTCCAGGCCTGTTGATGATAATGAAAATGCAAAGACTGAATACGAACAAATACATTCTTTTTAAATGCATTATTAGGTAATTTATTTGTTTCATCAGTTTATATAAAAGGTGTTTCCACAATTCTCACACGGGAACATATTTCATATGTTTAAATATACCTCGTAGTATTTGCTCGCACTCCAAAGGGCGCTAACTCTGAAACAGGAGAGTGATAGTGTTAGATGTACTGTAAATTGTATAAGTAATTGAACTATTTGTATTGATATTTGCCCATTGATCGTTGTATTGATAGTTTGCCTTTAACACAGGACTAACACAGTTAAGAATGTAAACAGATTTTCATGCATATATATGAATAAAGTCAAGCAGATTTCTTCTTGTTAACGGTATATTACACTCTAAACATCATAACAGTGAAGTAGGTGAATAAATGAGTTAATTCGTACCGTGTGCTTAATAGGTGCAGAAATAAGTTAATTCGTACCGTGTGCTTAATAGGTGCAGAAATAAGTTAATTCGTACCATGTGCTAATCCTCGAGTGAAGGCATCCATGGCTGCCTTGGACATGGAATAAGAACAATGTCCAGGGATCTACACGAAAGGAAATGAAAGGGTCTTCTGCAATAAGTGATTTCTGTACTTTGTACATTGTTTAACAACGTATCTTCCAGTTTCTAGTTTGGCTTGATTAAAATGACTAACAATACCTTCAATGTCACAGTAGACAATAATACACTTGATATATTGATGATGCAACCTGAAAGGAATGAAAAAAAAATTGAAAATCTTTGAGCAACGATACATCAAGCATAAAGTGACTCAATGAGCGTAGATAAAGACATTCTAGTCAGAATTGCAGGCTCCGGGGTCATAAAATTTAGACGAGCTCACTTTTGATCTCAGTCTCACTTTCACCAAAGGAATTTATAGTGGAAAATTGAGACTGAGATCAAAAGTGAGCTCAACTAAGTTTTATGACCCCAGGGCTTGGACAAAAGTGAGCTCAACTAAGTTTTATGACCCCAGGGCTTGGACAAAAGTTAAGTCAGACTAAGTTTTTATAACGTTAGATGTGTATATTTTCCTACTCTTTAACCAATGAAAAAAAAAATAAACAAACAAACATAAACTAACTCAACTTCAACATCAACAACAAAATTATTCAATTTTCTTCCTGATTTCAGCTCCGATAATGTCCAAAAGTCAATATTTTCACTGTGTTCTTGATCGACAACTTTCAAGAAAATATGTTTCAACAAATAGATAGAGACAGTATAGTCAGAATAAGTGGACAAATGTTAGGTCGCATTAAAATATTAATTCTTAATTTGGTTCAAGCTTTTATTCTGAATAAAGTGTTAAATCCATACATTTACCATAAAGATATCACTTGTCCATCTCTTTTTCCTTTAATGTTTACAATATACACTTACCCTTTGTGGCCTTTAGAAATGGTATTGCCTGCTGTGTGAGAAAGTACGCTGACTTGATGTTGACGTTCATAATTTCATCAAAGTTTTCTTCCGTTTCCGTCGAAATTGGCATAGGCCTCCCCATACCAGCATTGTTTACCTTGTACAAAGAAAACAAACCGTATTTCTTTTAATAATTATAATTTTTTTTAACTGACCATAGTTAAAGGTTCATATATGGGCTTTTCTGATAAAATAAAAGTATCTTTTCTCTTGTCAGACGTCTTTGTCGTAATTTAACTTTAAATTTCATTGAACCTCAGCGTCAATCAAATTCATGACAGAAATGATGATCACTTGTATGTTCAAATGAAGAGTAACAACTTGATTTCTTTAAGTAAAGCAAAGTTTGGGGTGATTAGGAAATAAGACAATTTAATTTACGGGTAGAATATCAGTTGGACTTGTTTGACGAAGTAGTCACATCCATCCTACTTTACGGGTGTGATATATCTAGATGTAATTGAATGTGTTCATTTACATTTTTTTAAAAAAAACTATGTTTAATTTAAAAAGCTTTACACAAATTACATGATTTATGGAGAAACCAGACCTTTTTTTCTATGCATTAATGCTTTAAAGAGAATGATTATATACTGGCAGAACATAAACATGTCAACATTGTTTATTAATATATGTATAAATATCAATGTAATGAGAACTTATAAAGCCAAAGGGTTAATAGTATCTCAAAAAAATTAACAATATAGTCACAGGTCATTTATCATTTTATTTAGAAATGGTTAAATGATGTAAAATATTCCTCTAATTATAAGGCCAGGTTTACAGAATTTTTAAAACCAATTTCGGATTTGAAAACTTTATTAAAAATGTACCTCAAAAACAAAGAAAAGTATTGATGAGCTTATATTGCTTAAAAAAACAATGAAAGCCTTGGCAACCCCTCTCAGGTTTTACTACAAAAAACAATGCGACAATATTCAGACTGGTTTAGATTATGGAATCACATAACGTTAATTCAATAACAGAATTTATGAAATTTACTTACGCTCGTTATCTCATTACGCTCTTTAGCTCATCTGAAAGCTCAAGTTAGTGTAACGATCCCCCCCCCCCCCGTTTTTCATGTCTTATGATGTGTTGAATGTCAAGCATTCTTGAGTTATTTAATTACACATTGTTGTTTACTTACTTATAAATACATAGTTATAAAGTTGCACTGTAATTTATGATTTTAATTGTCGTACGCGTGTGATCGATGTTTTAGCGTCTTCAAGAAAACGTGTTTTTCTGAAACTTCTGCCGCCGCCATACCTTGTTTACTTGTGTGTTTTCCCATGATGCTTCACGATGTACTGATCTATTTTTACCGTAGTTATTTTGGCGGAAGATTTGATTGTAGATTCTGTTTAATCAAATGATAAAATAATGTGCTTTAAAAGCGTAAATATTTTATTAATTTATTTACATATTGTAATAATTTTACACATGATGTACGAGGATGGAATTATTAATTCATCGTCGGAAACCCACGGTCGGTCTCGCTTTTCTTACCTCCCGTGGGACACAAGGCCGAAAATTTCGCTAGACTCATTGATATGCGTAACCTAATGTGATCTTTCGAGGGCCAATGAAAGTCGACGTTATCAAATTAGGCATACAGCAATAGCGGCGCCCATGACAATAATGTCGTGTTGCTGTTTGAAAGTGTTTGTAAACTATGGCAGCCTCGGGGCACGTAAAAGAATGCTCTTTTTGCTTATGTGTTATAAAGGACAGGGGATATAAAGCATTAAGCTCTAAAACATCAACTGAACAGTATAATTATGCATTTACAAGGTTAATTTTTTTCCCGACCAGCAATTCATATGCGTGTAATCAATGCACCAATAAATTAAATAGAATATCCAAGATCGAGGAAAATGTGCGAGCAAAGGTGGAGCAGTTGAAAACTGAGAGGGAAAAGTTGTTAGGTATGTGATATTTGGATTCAGACAAATTTAGGAAACTTTTTGACCTACTTTTCATGAAGAGGTGTCTCTAAATATTTATCAAAGAATGAGGGCTTGAAAGTTGATTGTTGATATCAGTTCTGTGTATTAAATATTCTATTTACTATTATCTATTTTTAAACAAAAAAGTCTTGTCAGCTATTTTAAAAATCTAGAAATTGTTGCCTTATTTATAAAAGCATTGCATACATAAATTTACACAGGGATTTATAATTCGTTTTAAGATGTTCTAAGACAACATCAACAGACAAGTGGGCATGTTAAGCCCAGTACACCCAGGGTAAGTACAGTGAAGAGGTCCCTAGATAAGACACAAACACCAAAAGGAAAAGGTAAAAAAGCTCTCTTTAAAACACCTGACAAACTACTTCTTCATCAGAACCCAAATCATAGTCTCCAGTCAAAGTTACCATGCAAGGAGGATAAATCAACACAAACCATTGTTCCAGAAAATTTTGATGTAAAGGTAACTTTTGATAAATTTTTCAATGGGCTAGGGTCATGCAGCCTTTGCCTTTTACTGTCCAATATCTGGTCACTACTGTAAATTCATAAATGACTATCCCATATTTTCTTGATCATGAAGAACGACAAATGGAAACTACTCACTTTGTCACGTTGCTAATACTGAAGATATGAGAATCTACATTATTGCAAGAGTTCTAACTGTTACATGTGTATGTGAACTATACATCATTTCATGTCGTCTGCAATAATGCTTTTGTGTCTTAGAATATGTACATGTATACAAAATACATAAACTTTTCAGTGTTCCATTGTAGATTGTCACCAAGTTTGCCGGAGCTGATGTAAGTAGAATAGTAAAAGATGAAAATTCTAAGGCAGCCTTAAAATCACTGTTTAACAGATCACCTCACGCTGTCTTGAAGAATTTTTGCAAAGATACCAGCTATATGGGTGCGTTATTTCAGTTGTGTGTAAAGAAGCTGAAAAAAGAAATTGACTGTGTAGTTAGCAAAAAAGTGACCTATTAAAATGCAAAAAGAGTGAAAGTATGATGAATCTTGACTGGTCTTTTGTGGAATCAAAACTCAAGGAAGGGATTCTTTATCTGTTTACCATTATGAGCAGTTTGATAGATGTAAATATCGGCAATACCTGCCACGATCACTTAAAATTCACCTTTAAAATCTCAGATGAAAGTATTAACTTTCTTGACACCATAATATACAAAGGCCTGAGATTCCAAGAGAATAAAGTGCTTGATATCCAATCATATGTAAAACCAACAAACAATTTTCAGTATTTTCACAGAGAAAGCGTCAACAGTCCTTCAGTATTTAAAGGATTTATAAAAGGTGAATGCATCAGACATGCAAGAAATACAAGTTATTCATCTATTCTAACAACACTTTTAGCAAACTTTAAGACACACTTGTCCAAGAGAGGTTACTCTGATAAGGAAGTTGATCCTATTATCACTGAAATGGGCAAAACACACAGAGAAATGTACTTGCATAAAAAAATCTTGAAAGAATAAAAGCGTCAACCAAATGTTATGATTACCAAATACAATCTATATATTAAGGGTTTAAAAAACGCATTCTCAAGCACTGGAACATCTTGCAAACACACACAATTTGCAAAGAGATATTTATCGATGAACCAATAATCGCCTAAAGTAAACATAAAAAAAGGCGAAATGATAATCAAGTCACGCTTACAATAGCATAAGACAAATAAAAAAGGTGGGCTCCTGATGATAGCGGGCCTTAAGAGCAAAAATATCATATTCTCTTTAAAAACCGCCGAAACACTCTATGCTTCCATAATATTATTTTTATTAAATAACTCATAAGTGGTCTAGAGTGTCGGGCCCTAGTAAATTTACAAGAAGCTTGGTTGATTGATGTCCTTTTTCGAAACAAAGAAGTAGAACCTTCCAGTGCTAATACTGTCAATAGGTGTACTTCTTTATGGCAGATCAAGATCAGTAAATCAGTTACAGTACATCCTTGGTCTAACACTAGACAAGTGTGGAGTGTCAAAGGAGGCATTTAAAATTAGTTTTAAAAATTATTAAAACTGGATTGAAATTTTTAAAAAAGTCACATAAATCCTGATGTAGTCAAATATATCTATTTAAAAAAGGTGTGAATCAAAAATGACACTGTTCATTGGTTTTAGGGT